ATGCATCTTGCACAGGTCAGGACTTTAAGTAAATCCCAGTTTGCTCGCGCGGCAAACATAATCTACAGTAAATTAATATTCAGTTAATCATACACTATGCTGGCGCGAGAAAAGATTTCAGTTAAATTCTAGTTTATTCGTTCGTTTTATATTACCGATGTTAAATTAACCTAATTTCATCATTGCGTTCCAGACATTTTAAATAATTATCTCAAAGGACTATTTTCGGTTGATCCTAGTTTACTCACGCGGCAAATATAAACGACTTTAAATAAACATTATTCCATATTCCTTAACTTATAGCGATCCGAACCCTTTAACATTTATCTCAAAGGAATATTTTAGGTCAATCCTAGTTTACTCGCTCAGCAAATATAACCTACAATAAATTAAGATTCTGCCATTATCCAAAGATTATAGCGTTCCTGACGCAATGACTATTTTTCACAAAGGAATATTTTTTGGTAAAAACGACAAATATAACTATCATTCAATTAAAATGACTCTTGGGATAAAGGTAGTTCTTCATTTCAATTTTGTGAAAATTACTGTGTGTAGCAATCATACCCCGAAATAGCAGATATGCTTTGGTATAAAATAAGTTGATTTGCGGAGACCTCGCTATGTAGGTTATATCAAATTAGACTGTGTACTCACCATCGCACCAGAAAAGCTAGCTACATCAGTTTGCCCTGGAAGGTAACCGCTTATCCATCAGCTGTAGATTCGAGCGTTCACTAGTTTTCTCGCCTGGGGACAGATACTACACTCTGATCCCAGACAAAATGCCGAGAAACGATGGCGACCGCGATAAACCCGCCATTTTTCAGACGCTCAGTATCGAACGATAATCACCAAAAATCCATTTACCATAAATAAAACAATATCATCTGTTGAATTATTTTAAAATTATTATTTAGACAAATATTCGTAAGACTGGGATTTGGCAAGAAAGAAAGAAAAAAAAAAACCGGAAGATGGAAGGGTTTAACATCTCTTGCCAATACCTCATTAATAATGAACTATTCTGTTTTGAATGCGCAAAAAAGAAAATGACATACGCTACTTGGTTTCAGTGAGAAAATGAAAGAAAGAAAGAACGGGATATAGAAGTGTTTAAGGGCTGTTTCAGTGAAATGGAAAAAGGAGTAAATTTCAAACCTTTTCATTTGTACCCACTTCTTAAAATAACGACCAACGTTCATATATATGATTTTTATTTCAATATTTTGTTAAAGTTGTTAAGCTCAAATATTTTGACGATGTGATAGAGGAAATTCTACGGATATATCATTGTTGTAGAATTCACAATGAACTTATTCAATCATTAACTGAAGTATTAAGATTCATCAGAAATTTCAAAAGGAAAACCGTGAATTTTTCACGGTTTTCCAATAATTTTATGTATGAGAAATTTAATCTCGGGTTTTTATAAGTTTGTACAGTAACATTACAGTGAAAAAGTCCGGAGAGGGTATATTTTTTTATTCTGCTATGATTCATCATTCATTTTGACTTCTTATTTTTTTCATTTTAATTCTGTTGCTTTTTATCGAACCTCTCGGATCGTTATTCTATGACCGTTATGTCAGTTTCCAAGAAAGTTAAATCTCACTATACTATGGGATTCACGCCAGGAATTACCAGACAGAATGAATAAAATCTAATATCAATAAAGAATTTTTTTCTAATAAAAATTAACCTGTGGTGCCTCCATTATGTACTGTAAGCGATACCAAAGTAGACTTTTCACTTAGTTCTACACCAGAACATCAGAGAAGCCAGATGCATCGGCGGCTTGATCTGAAAGGTACCCCCACAGTCAACAGGTGCAGATTCACACCTCAGTGGCTGTCCTCGATATGTAAACAGTTGGCCGATACGGTTGCAGATGTTTATAACTATCTCGATATACTTATATTTAGGAATTCTTTCTACGGGCGATATATCTATAAAAATTACTTGAGGAATATAATGGCAGCGCCTTTTCATATAATTTTTAACTAATCATTAATCTTAAAAATTTGGGAAAATATTTTAAGTAATCTAATATTTTATTGAATTTTAGTTTTTGCTTTAATTTTGCTATAGTTATCTCTCTTATTTTCTGATAATGTCGTGTATGAACGTCCATATAAAAATCGGCACACACACACACACACACACACACACACACACACACACAAAAAAAAACACAATCTTTTCAAAATATTGGGGGTTCGTATTTGTAGTAAGCTGAATTGTAGTAAGAGTTTCCATTTATAATTAGTAAATATAGTTTTTACTTAATAACAATATCACGTAACCGATAAAAATTAATACAGAAATTTAAAAGATTTAAAATTTTATAAATTATTTTAATTAAAATTTAATAAAAAACTAAACAAATCTTGTAAAAATTCATTACTCTTCAATTTTTTTCATAAGAGAATAGTTTCAATAATATATCATATTCATAAAAGCAATTAAAAGCGTTTCTTATTAAATAATGTTTTACTTTTATTGCATTTTTATTTTACGATTCAGAGCAGATTTTTGGTAACTTGTGGTCCTGTTTTACACAAACAAATTAATGTTTTAAATTCTCCAAGGACTTGTGCTAATAATTAGTATAAACACTAAGCACTACAAAAATGAATTTATTGAAATTTCATAAAATTAAATAAGTTGGAGTTAATTGATATGGAAAAATATTTCACCAAGATTTCTCTAAAAAGAGAAACGTTTCTAAAAAGTTTAACCAAAATGTTGATGGTACTAAAAAGGATTAAAAAAAACTTTAATTTGATAAACAAAACATCATTTGATGTTAATACTAACAAAGATTTTGACGATAAAAGTTTGTTTTTTAAGTTTGGGGAATTTTTTCGTCATGTATGCTCAGTTTTCAGCGAATCCTTGGAGGTACCTACAATAAACACAATATTCAATATATACACTTATTTCATGCTCACAAATCCATACCCCATTTATGTATACATAATTATAAACATTCACTTGAAACGAATGCATGACAACGAATATGTTAATATAACAGGAGAATGGACATTACACCTAGTCTTATTAGATAAATCGGAACTACTATAGCGTGAGATCTACCTCAATATAGCGTGCATAGGGTCTACTTGCCGTTTCGTCTATAGCGTGAGGTCTACCTCGATATAGCGTGCGTGAGGTCTACCTTCCGTTTCGTCTATAGCGTGAGGTCTACCTCCCGTTTTGTCTATAGCGTGAGGTTGCCGCAGCATAATATCGTATGTGTATAGATATTTATTTAAACCTTATATTATCATTTATTTATCTATATACTGTTTATATTTATATTCAAGGCAGAGATGTAAAAACAAACACGCTATCAAATACAATTCTCCTCCTCTGTTATGCTTTCGTTTTACCTCCATGACAGAACCGAATTTATGGCGTGGATCTGCTTGTTGAACTGTATCCAGTAGATTGTGTTTTCTTAAAAAGTTTTTTTTACTTTTTTTTTAAAAGCTCACCACTCCTGGTGAGAAGATTTTTGTAAGATTGCCTTTTTGGGGGGGGAGTTTTATTATAACCTTTGAGTAATCCTAACATCATTCACAAAAAATATTCATTAGTATCAAAAACTTGTAAAGATATTGCAAGAAGCACTAACTGGATACAACGAAGCTTTGTTTTACGTGAACGTCGAGGTAAAACCAGCAGAATGTTTGCTACTGGTCGCAAAACAATCCGTGCTGGATGGTCCCTTTCAAACAGCATAAAGAACACAATGGATTATAGTCTGGTATATCTTGGGACCGTTTTTATGATAATGTAAGGTAGAGTAATGGATAGCGGCTCGGATTGAGGAATCGGAGAACCGATTTCGCATTCCACTCGTATCCATTATATTCCCGTACGTGCTAATGCCCTTCGAGTACCCTAAGGTATGAATCCTCTTCTTCCCCAGCTAAGGGTAAATAGTAGAACAGACTGGGTTCTATAACCTTGGATGGAAACCGGTCTAGGGGAAGGAAAAACACTGAATTCAATACCGTCCTGGTGAGGTTTGTGTCTACCTCAGAGAAACACCACTTGTGGCTGCAATACACATGGTGTCCCTACGACCCACGGGTCATGGGATTAAAAGGAAGTGAGACATATGCTGAGAAACTAGTTAATGCCCCATATTGAAAGGTTAGGTGAAGGGATGGAGCCCTTGTCCATTATGCTATGACAATTGGATTGGGAGACGTGTATATTTTCCGTACAAATTTAAAGTCCTTCATTGACACCAGAAAAACAAGATTTTTAGCCCAAATTTCCATGGTTGAAAAAAGGATAAAAAGTAATTTTGCATAAAAAAATATTTTGATATTTCACCTTAATAATAGCACAGGCGATAAAATACTGGTTTTTATTATGTTTTGTGAATTTCTTTTATCATGTATCCTCTTTTTTAGCGAATCTTTGGAAGTACCAACTGTAAAGATATGACAGAGAAAACTAAATATAGTCGAGCCTGCACGTTCGTAATGGTGGTGATCCTCAGGAAAATAGAAAATCCGTGAATATACACTCTAAACCTTAACTCCGAAGGTATTGACGATATTTAACGCTATATATCATTAAAGAGCACGCAGCTAGAGTAACAGTTATCGGCGCGAAAAGCGGATCCAGCGAGCTGAGTTCAAATTCCAGCCGAGTCTGCTGTGTTCAATTCGCACCAAAGCTCTTCTCTCCGCATATACTGATTAACTAGCAGAGCAGACTCGGCTTTTTAGCCTCAGGTGGCAACAAGTCCATGAGACAGAACACTTAATACAAAACTGCGGAGAAATCAACAGGAAACAACTTAACTATCACTTCCATTGATATTAAAAAAAAAGGAAGCTGTGGAACGTCCTGAAGGGAAAGGCATTTTTAAAATACCATTAGGGAAAGGAAAATAAAAAAAAAAATATTGTTTACCAGCCTTAGACAATTTCGGGATGGATAAGATCACAGAAAAAATTAAATATACAACAGTGGTGCCTCGTATTCCCAAGCAGTCACCCATCTAAGTACTAAGCTACGTTGCTTAACTTCGGTGATCATACAGGAACCGGTTTTTTCACGTGATGTGGCCGTAAGCTTTGGGATATCAGTCTTCATAGCACTACCTAAGAAGCCAGGTGCAAATGAATGAGAGCTCCATCCACTCAGCCATAATGAGCCATATAACTAAGCTTATCATCCGAATTCTGACGAATAGAGCATGTAACAGAATTAAACGTCAAATAGGGCAAGAATAGTGTAGTTTCATTAAAGACACTGGGACAAGAAAGGTAATCTTTCTCCAACCAAACCTATTCTCTGTCTCTTTTCCCCAGTCATTGTCACTGATTTCAAGAGCTTTCACGTTGTATTCAACATCTTTGAAATGTTTCTTATGTTTGTGTTAGGGGCACTAATCAAGAGTGAACTCTCCGTAAAACAGGTGCTTATGCAATCTCTCATCTCCCATCCTCCTGTCCAACCCAGATGATTGTGACTATAACTTTTAGGAATAATTTATGCTTTTCTTTCTAAAAATATTTTAAAAGTATGCTGAATTTTACTTTAGTTTATTATTAAAATATAAAACAGAAGCAATGTTTTATACTACAAAATTAATATTTAAAAAAGTCATTTATTTTGAATATTCAAACATTTTGAAATGGAGCTCAAGTTCTGACTTATTTGCACCATGAGTATGCCTGTAGTATAGAACAACATATTATTTTAAATGGAATAAATAGGCGGCGTAGGAGAATAAGACTAGAAATAGATAATAATGATGTGTAATAATGTAATATTAAAGTTACTTGAACAAGAAATGCAATCTTTATGGCTATGGTGATATCAAAGCGAGCAATAAAAAAGCAGAAAGAGGTTATATCTATGTTTCATAGATTACGTAAAAGCGCTTGATAAGGTAAGATATAAAGATCTATTTGAACTGCTAGGAAAACTTGATTTATTTGACAGAGATATTAGAATAATCCGGAACTGGGAAGAAACTGGGAAGAAACTGGGAAGAAAGCGCCTTCATGCGGAGAGAAAATGAACTAAGTACGCAAAAATAGAAAAGGGAGTAAGATAACGATACGTCTTCACACTGAATTTATTCAACTTACACAACGAGGCGATCTTAAGAGATATAGAATTCCTACAAAGATTTATTCTTGGTGGGTACAATCTTAATATAAGATATGCAGTTAATACCCTATTGATGTCAAATAAATAAAGAAAACTACTGAAGCTTCTAGGAAAACTAGTAAAGGGAAGCGGCAAGGAAATAGAATATATGGTTGTTAGCAAAAGGGACAGACCAAGATGCAAATTACAAATTAGGGACGTCAGACGTAAGTATAGAAATTTAATTAATCAGGGAAGTTTTTTTAATCGTTTTATCCCAAGCGAGGCAGCAAAGCCACCAAGACGCAGAGGGTTACCAAACTTGAAAGAATATAAGAAAAAGAAAAACATTATTAAGGAACGAGAACAATGAAAGGAACAGAAATTAAAAAGACAGAAGATAACAATTGATATTTCATTTAAATTTTTGCAGATCTAAGTTGGCTGTAAATCAAGAAGCTGGAAGATAGTTCCACAAGCGAGAAGTACGAAAAAAGAAACAGTTAGCATAGAACTTACGATTACATCTAGTGTTGCGGTGGAGAATATTTCCCTACGCGTATTGACTTGGCCGTCGGACGAAAGACATAAAAATACACCTACATCAAGAGGAGTAGCAGTAGCAGCAGTAGATTTTGCTGAAAATAGTCATTCACGGTTAAACATTCTCTTCCCTAGTTTCTATTCTGCATTATGTTTACCTGCACCAAAAGGTAATAAATTGTTTGTTAAACTAATTCTGGTTTTCTACTGTTGTTTTTGATTACTCATTTACAACATCTAGCCATTTCAGTTGTAAAATATTGAGGCCTTACTGCCAATCTAGTACCGCGCTTAAATTCATAGAGTCTAGATACCATAGAGGAAAGTGAATCAGAACAGTTATCATGGAAGTATTCACAGAAAAGGCAGAGGGATGCAACATTTAGGCATTGGAAAGTCACTGAAGACGAGATGCCATGTCAGGATCAATAACATTGTAGATTCTTTGGATTTTTCAAGGATTTCAAAATATATAGCTGAAGCAACAGAACAGACAACGGAAAAATGTGACTCGGAACTATGAAGGCGCGAGAAAGATGCTTTCCAAAAACTAAAAATATTAAGAAATAGGAAAATTTCCTTACTGCTGAATATCATTGTAATATCAAACCTGCTATATAGTAGCGAATTTCCTCACAGATGAAGAGGAGACTTGAGATGTCGTTCTATAGAAGGATGTTGGGCATAGAAAAAAGTGCTTAACTGATATGTAAAATCAGTCCTCCTATATGGCAGTGAATACTGGACAATTTCCTCACAGATGAAGAGAAGACTTGAAGCAACACAGATGTGGTTCTACGGAAGGATGCCGAGAATACATAGAAAAGAGTGCTTAACTGCTATGTAAAATCAATCCTCCTATATGGCATTGGATGCTGGACAATCTCCTCACAGATGAAGAAGAGACTTGTGGCAAACAGAGATGTGGTTCCACAGAAGGATGCTGAGAATACATAAAAAAGATTGCTTAACTGCTATGTAATATCGATCCTCCTATATGGCAGTGAATGCTGGACAATCTCCTCACAGATGAAGAGGAGACTTGAGGTTACAGAGATGTGGTTCTATAGAAGGATGCTGAGAATAGAAAGAAAAGAGTGCTTAACTGCTATGTAATATCAATCCTCCTATATGGCAGTGAATGCTGAACAATCTCCTCACAGATGAAGAGGAGACTTGAGGCTACAGAGATGTGGTTCTATAGAAGGATGCTGAGAATAGAAAGAAAAGAGTGCTTAACTGCTATGTAATATCAATCCTCCTATATGGCAGTGAATGCTGAACAATCTCCTCACAGATGAAGAGGAGACTTGAGGTTACAGAGATGTGGTTCTATAGAAGAATGCTGAGAATAGAAAGAAAAGAGTGCTTAACTGCTATGTAATATCAATCCTCCTATATGGCAGTGAATGCTGAACAATCTCCTCACAGATGAAGAGGAGACTTGAGGTTACAGAGATGTGGTTCTATAGAAGAATGCTGAGAATAGGAAATACAAAAAAAAGAGTGCTTAACTGCTATGTAATATCAATCCTCCTATATGGCAGTGAATGCTGAACAATCTCCTCACAGATGAAGAGGAGACTTGAGGCTACAGAGATGTGGTTCTATAGAAGGATGCTGAGAATACATAGAAAAGAGTGCTTAACTGCTATGTAATATCAATCCTCCTATATGGCAGTGAATGCTGGACAATTTCCTCACAGATGAAGAGGAGATTTGTCAACAGAATTCTAGTTCGATAGAAGGACGCTCACAGTACCATGGAAGGCGCATATAAAGATTTAAGGAATATGGGGACAGAAAAGACAATTATGCATAAAATCAGAAAAAGACTGTCAAAATTTATGGGATTCACAATGAGGAAAGAAGGCTTCGAGAATCAGACACTCATAGGACATAGTGAAGAGAAGAGAGAGAGAGAGTAACAGCGTGAAATATGTCTAAAAATTTTATTTGAATACGTAGCAGAGCAGGAACAAAGATGGACGACGGTAAAGAGACAAAGATTTCTGAGAGATCCAAGGAACGGGATGTTGTGGAGAGACTTGACCGTTCATGACCTGGGGGTGGGAAATGGTAGATGAGAGAACATCGAAAGCTGCAAGTTAGAATGTGTGGGACTAGAACGGATATTTGTCGATGTTTGGGGAGGTCAAAGGTGAGTTACTGAGTTCAAACGAATATAAATAATTTTTAATGGATGAACTGATGTACTCGGTAGAAATTATGAAAACTAATCAATCATTCGACAAGTAAGTAAGCAAGGCTTTTGAAAACGCTAACTGGCCATCAGTGGAGTCGCTCTTTCTTTCTCTATCGTTCAAATAGAACTGGATGCTCATGGCAACGTTCTGAGTGACAGACGGACACTGACAGATGGTGACCCGAAACAGATGGTCAGTCATGACATGTGGCCTCTCACCAATATAAAAAAGCCACTGATATCTCTTTACTCTGATTCGCCATTCCTTCAATAGAAGAAGCGCTTGTCCCGCATGGACACAAATGGTGTCACGTGGTTCATTAGAATACTCCCCATAAAAAATATTTGTGGTTTAAAAAAGAAAAAGAAAATTATTAGAAACCTTCTTCTTTTATGTTGATTTTCTAAGCATAGCTTAGATGTGGTACAAGGCCGAATGTATGGAGCACCCAGTGAGGATCGAACTCACTATTCAGTCGTAAGTGTTTTAGCGGGACAAGCTTGCTAACCATTACACCACGCCGAGGGGACCTTCTTCTTTAATGTGCCGCTTCCCTTCAGATCTTGCTTGATCACGACTCTCTACAACTTCCTATCCTTTGTAGCTCTTAGTAAAGTTTATTTTTTCACTATCTTTCTCAATCTCTCTTCTGTCATCCATTTACACAAGCTCGGTTAGTCGATATCTTCCTTTGTCCCTCTTGCTTTCAATATGTCATGTCAGTGTCAAATTCCCCCAGCCTTCTTTCCTCATTATGTGTCTTAATAATTTCAACAGTCTCTTTCTAATTCTAAACGTCTTTTTTGTTTAAATTTTCCTTAAAACTTCCTCGTTATTCACATATTTAGTCCCTGGTATTCTCAGCATTCTTCTGTAGAACTACTTTTTTTCTGTTGTCTCAAGTCTCTTCTTCATCTGTGAGGAGATTGTCCAGCATTCACTGCTATATAGGATCAATATTACATAATATTTCAGCACCTTTTCTTTGTTTCTAACGAAATTTCTCTGTTTCTTAATACTCAGCTTAGCTTCTGGAAGGCATATTAGGCTATACGAATGCACCTTCGGATTTCAGTGTCGCACTTTCCGTCCTCGGTTAAAACACTTCTCAGATATTTAAATTTCCACACTTGTTTGATTTGTAACTCTTACTCTACCTAATATATAAAATAACTCACGTAGTTCATTAGAATACTACCCATAAAAATAATATTTGTGGTTTA